TAAGTTCGCCTGAAGAAGGGAGTATTCTGATTTAATTTCATAAATTTATACTGCTTACATTGAAGTTCATAGAATCAATCTAAAAAAAATAACCATTATTAAGGTTTTCAATGAAAATACACCGAAGTCGTTCACCTGACTGGCGTGGCTTCGATTATGACCGGGCAACCGTAAACTTTATGTTGTTCGGTTGTTCAAGCCGCCGGAAGCTATTCAACTTAAAGCCTTGTGTTCCTACATAACCCTTAGACTATAAACTAGAATGCAACACTGTAATGTGCTTAGTATGTTACCGTATTTGGAACAAATATTAGTTCAACTGATATACAGGGTGGTTGAAAAGTAACTTACACCCCCCCCCCCCTTAACTTTTCAACCATTTGAGATATTTGAAATCAGTTTGCAGCAACCTTCTTAGATATTAGAGGGGCTACAATAATTATGGTCAATTTTGAAAATTTTGCCCTTAGGGGTAGTGGATGTAGGGGGTGGCTCAAAGTTTTTTAATGACAAGTATGGTCGAGTTTGGTATCATTTTACAGATCTTGACAAAACATAACAATTAACATAAAGCAATTGGAAATCGGACCATTAATAACAAAATGGCAGTTCAAAATTACTTTTAAAAACTATTGTCTTAATAATTTTAGCTGCAATTTTGTTGTTTATGGTCCGGTTACTATTTTCTTTATGACAATTGTTATGTTTCGTCAAGACCTGTAAAATGATACCAAACTCGACTATACTTGTCATTTGAAAATTTTGAGCTACCCCTACCCTCACTACTCCTATGGGCAACATTTTCAAAATTTACCATAATTATTGTAGCCCTTTTATGCTAAGAAATTTGCCACAAACAGATTTCAAATATGTCAAATGGTTAAAAAGCTAAGGGGGGATGTTAGTTACTTTCTAGCCATCCCGTTTAACAAGTTAATTAACATAGTGTGTAAATTAAGTATGGAAACAAATCTGTATTTTTAAAACCGAAATAGATAGAAATATTCTATTTGTGGCAATAATAGTTAACAAAGATTCCGCAATTTTTCACATGAAAAATATTTTTTTACCCCCCTAACAGGATAGGTGGTAGGGGGTGACTTATTTTTTTCAAACAGCAACCCCTATTGAGTGACCCCTCATTTTGAAGAGTTTGTCAAAAGAAACACAATGACGCAAATCCGAGGTGAATATCTCACTCCTAGCCCAAATGGCGGATATTCCAAAATTTGATTTATTGTACGTGAAAAGCACCAATTTCACAAATAATGGAAAGAAATCTGTATTTTTAAAACCGAAATAGATAGAAATATTCTGTTTGTGGAATTGATTGTTGACATAGGTTCCGCAATTTTTTTAATCAACAATATTTTTTCAACCCCTTTAACAGGGTAGGGGGTGGGAGTGACTTATTTTTTTCAACAACAACCCCTATTGAGTGACCCCTCATTTTGAAGGGTTTGTTAAAAGAAAAAGAATGACGCAAACCCGAGGTAGATATTTCACCCCTAGCCTAAATGGTGGGTAATGAAAAATTTAATTTTTGTAAAAAAAAGCCCATTTTGGAATATCCGCCATGTTAGCTAGGAGTGAGATATTCACCTCGGATTTGCGTCATTGTGTTTCTTTTGACAAACCCTTCAAAATGAGGGGTCACTCAATAGGGGTTGCTATTTGAAAAAAATAAGTCACCCCCTACCACCTACCCTGTTAGGGGGGTAAAAAAATATTTTTCATGTGAAAAATTGCGGAATCTTTGTTAACTATTATTGCCACAAATAGAATATTTCTATCTATTTCGGTTTTAAAAATACAGATTTGTTTCCATACTTAATTTACACACTGTATAATTGATGAAGGTTAGTTCCAACAATTTAAAATAGGAATCTTCAACTATAAACTCTAGAGCAATATATTTTTTAACAAGTATTTCCTACTTTGTAACGATAGTATGGTAGGAGTTTGTTTAAGCTATGGCACAATGAATGTAATATATACCCTTTGAAACGGGCTTTTAAACGTGATGAGTACACAAGTGCAGACGTATCTAAAATACTTCCAGGTCTACTAGTATTAGGTTTTTTTTTTTTCAATTTCCGTTGTCTATACTAACTAAAACTATACTATATCTATATCTATACTAACTTAATTTGTCAAGGAATTAGCCAATGGCTTTATTTGTTTATTGATCTACAAATATCGATAAAATGAACACGATCGTAGCCTAGATTTACAAGGACTTTGGTAAATAGTAAGGTAGTAGCCTATAGAGTAATAAATCGTTGACAAAATACTTACATGGACATCGTATCAAGCAGTAAACACGTGTACCATCGAAGTGTTAAGAATTGAATTGAAATCGTTGATATTGTTAACCTAATATTTTCTTAACTGGTTTAGAGCTCAATTTAGCAAAAAATATAAACATCAACAATTGAAAACTTAAGAAGCTGCTTTCTTGATATCTAAACTTTGTATAAGATTGGTAAAAATGAATTCGATTTTTTATCGTCAAACAAGAAATTTATCTCAACACAGACTTTATCCACCCATCCGATTCCAACGCCCCCAACGACCCTTATGACGCAACAGTATATAACTCCATTGAGAACATCCCCAGCAAATCACCGTGCATTAGGCAAGTTCAATGCTGACAAGCGAAGTTATTTAGAATCGCAATCAGTGTTTGAGTGGAGAGTTCTCGGACGGAAATCCGATTATTATTACAAGTAGCTTTTCATGAATGGGTCGGATCGCATTCATATGTTAAAACGAGCACTCAACTCTCAATTCGCTCTTTCTGCAGATCTCGCAGTCAGTAATTTTACCGAGAATGTATTACATCCCTCATTTAACCCCGTATTAGAATTTTACGAATTTAGCGATACGGTTAGCTTTACAATGTCGTTGCTGACTGAGTTGAGTGGTAATGAATGAGATACTAAACTAAAATCGTACTGCAGGTACTGTAGTTATAGTCATGTTTATTTGATATTGTGTTTGATGGGGGAAATATAGGTCTACAGTGTAATTCACAATGCAATCCGAATTTAAAAAGGGAATCACCTGACAATGATTTATATAATACATATATATATGATGTATGTATATATATGATATTTATATACGATGATGATGTATATAATAATGTAATACTATGTTAGCTATGATACGTTACGATTTAATTATTGTTCATCTGTCTTATGGTTTGACGATGCATAGACATATAAAGAAAAAGGAAGGGAAAGCGCCATAACTTTTTAATTGGTCGAGTTAAAACTATAGTGAGGGCTAGGCAGTGGGCAGTTTCTTTCAAATGCTAATAATGTTCAAAAAAAGTTCTAGATATGTTACATAATAAAAAAAATCCCTTAAGTAAGGAACTACGACCTTAAAGAGCAATTTATGAAATAATGGTATTGCGAAAGCTTTCTCGTCATGATGAACATTTTAAGTCTATGGTTTATGGGTGTGTGACTTTTAGTTTTCTCAAATGAGACTTTGGGATTTATATATAGATTACCATTAAAATAATATTTTAATTACCCAACACAACCACTCACAAACCTACTATTTAACGGAGAGGTAAAGCACGATTCGGAGTACATTCGTATTCAACTCGGTTAAATTTGCTTAAGCCAAACAGCGGTTGGAGAATTTCCTGCGATTCGCGCCAGAGATAAACACAAATACGGCGATATTTGAGTGCGAAGCTAAATCAGACGGAAGTTTATGCTGGATCAAAGGTGTCAGGGGCCCGTGGGAGATCTTGCGCCGGCTTTCCTACTTGATTGATCCCGCCTCCTGGATTATCCTGTGGGACTGCGTGGTCCTTACACTCCAGCTGTTCTATACTAGGGATATTTAAAATTCGAAAATGTTTAGTGAGGTTTTTGTTGTTTTGGATTTCGTTCGAGAGATTTTGTAAGATGTTATTGACACACGATTTATTTTTACTCTGGAGTGTTTAAATGTTGAAATAAGCTGAATAAACTTTGTTTGTGACGTTATGGATGATTTTAAAGATACGTATTAAAGCTCAGAATGTTCTGTATTCAAGATATTAAAAAGTTTGAAAAGAGTTAAGCTGTCGAAATGAATTGTTGATAAGTGCTTTATGTAAAGGTGAATTATCGGAAAAGGGTTTAACATATATCACTAGCAACAGGCGTTTACGGATTTAGCAATAATATCTCAAAACACGCAATATGAATGCACAATATGTTATCGGTCCATATTTCATACACACCATCAACTGTTTTGTATTTAAAACAAGGTAATTGGTTCTATTGTAGTTCAATATTTTTTCCTTTTCAGTTATTTATATTGTTTTAATTCATGCTCGTATTAAGTAATATAAAATAATATTAGAAAACTATTAACATTAGTTTTGGTTTCGACGTTAGTTATTTCCTCTCGGATATTGTATATCATAGGTAATATTCCACATTTAAAATTCTTTCTGTAATAGTAATTTGACATCAGCCTACTATATTGTGTTTATTTTTATATAAACTTAATTAAGGTCTGTCACAATCAGAAAACAATTTGGTCACCTAGTAGTTCAAACTGATTGTTTTACATTATCCTGTTTGGTGATTAAGAAGTATACAATTTTCCGAGGGCTTCATTCGAATCTGTCTACACGGTGAAGCACATTAAATTAGCAAAGTTGTTTATTACTTTTAAGCATACCTTCTCTTCACAACATTAACCTTTTACTCCCACCCCACATCGACCATAATGAACTGTCACCTAGTAGTTCAAACTGATTGTTTTAGATTACTCTGTTTGGTGATTAAGAAGTATAAAATTTTTTGAGGCCTTCAAATGTGTCAACACTGTGAAGCACATTAAATTATCAATGTTTTGTATTACTTGTTAACCGTATCTCCTCTTCACAACATTAACCTTTTCCTACCCCACATCGACCTTAATGAATTGACTTAGACCTGACCTTAACCTCTACTCTCCGACTGACCCGGGTGTGTTTTCCTCAGGGCGGAGCTCCAGTACACCCCCAACAGCACCGTGAGTCACCTGAAGGTTCGTCAGCTTCAGGTCGCAGACGAGGCTGTCTATAAGTGCGAGATCACCTACCTGGAGGTCAGAGAGGGCTGCCAGGTCGTCCAGTTCATCAACCTCATCACTCTAAGTGAGTACTTGTTTAGCTTAGTAAAGTTGTAAAAAACTTCCTCAAAGGAATAAAATCCACTTTTCGCCTTTTAAGTGTTAAATTCACAATTAAATATTTGTCCTAATTATGCCATATTCAGTAATTCTGTAAAACTGATTTATCTGGTTTAAATAATAATATTTTTGTTTCGTCATTTAACTCAATAATAAGTTGGTTTTTATCAATATATTTTTTTGCTTCACTAATTTATGTTCAAAATGTTTAGAGATAGGTTTAGAGACCTAAAAGATTGTATAACTTCATGATCCAACAAAAGGATTAGATATGATTTTATATTGTGTTATCATACTGTAAGTTGTATTGTAATCATATTTAACAAGGTGTAAAGTGTTCATTTATGAAACGTCATCGTTATTTAATACCAGGTTCTACAAACTGGGAATCGTTGTCTTTTTATTATTTGTTGCATAGTGATTCATTCCATGTATCAATCTGTTTGACCCAATTTTACAGACACGTCCACTTAAGTTCCTAGGTGATGCAGACTAGTATTAACTAATTAGTATAACAATAATGTTACTATCCTTATCTCAATACTATTTACAATGGGGGAGCGAGCTGGTCTAGTAGTTAGAGTGTGTGACATCGGTTCCAGAGGTCCCGGGTTCAAATCCTGCCAATCACCAATGGTTGTTATCCATGTGATAATGCCGCAACCCGTAGGTCTAGCCTGAGGTAATGTGAAAAAACAATTCCGGACTCGTGGCCAACGTCCTAGGACAAAAAAAAAACAACGATTGTTACACATTTCCACAAACATATCCTTTCTTATTTACTTCGACAAAAATGAACAGTATTTGACGAAATTATTTTCTAATCAAATGAATCTCTAGGAAAACGTCTTTCGTGCGAGACGGTTATTTCACAAATACAGAGACGTGAGGAATGGGCGAATATATTCTGTTGAAGTAGGGGCTGGGATTTCTGACTGATAGTGCTTGATGCCCTCGATTTGTTACTTGTCCTTCCCTTGACTCTCGGTTGGTTATTCTCCATTTTCCTGACCTCTGGTGTTTTCTGTGAGAGCCAACGTATCAATCGTGCCAAGTTCTGTTTATATTGTTTCACGACTGTGTCAAAAAGGTATAACTACAGCTAACGATGACAGTAGGGGGATTTTTTTGACGACGAGACAATGTACCGTGTGTACTGAACGTAATGTGGGTGTGCCAGGAATTGAACCTGTCCCTCCCGCACCAAGGTCCGAGACGTGAACCACTATTCTAAGTGTGTTGTTTGTAAAAGACTATACCTACTTTTCCTGTCAACTTTACTTTTTAAATGTGGTATTTTTGTGTGTTTGAATGAAACTGGACTTGATTTCATTTCATTTTAATGCAAAATTTATATTTCCACAAGTTTTATTCGTGATGCCCATAACTGTTTTATATGCTAAAAATATATGTAGGTTTTTTGCACGTGGTTTTATAAATACTACTTAGTAATTATTTGGAATTCTGAGGTCTTGTTATTCAAACTAAATTAAACATTTTATATAAGAGAAATTAAAACGAACTTTCATCGTTTATAAAGACGATATTTTATTTACTTTTTATCCGGCTTTTCAATAGATTCCAAACGTAGTCTATAGATATTTTATTATTTACCTTCACATCTTGGGACGTTAGGTACTAACCGGGGCCGTTTCGCACATTACTTCAGGCAAGGTCCTAAAAAGTCGCCTGATTACCACATTTCTAAGGGCTATGGATGATTGGCTAGATTTTAATCTGGAACCTAGGAAACCAGATCCCCATTATATAAAACTATACCAGCCACTTCCCAACATAACAAAACGAGGAAAATAATAAGACTTAGGCAATTCTTTGGGAGAATTATTTAATAAGCTCCACACACAAAAAATACATTTCAAGCCTTATTTGCAACCTTTTCAAAACGCTTCCAATCGTTTTTCTCCAGACAAAACCACAGAATATCTTCTACAGAAAATTGCACAAATATATTCCCCACGTAAAACCAATTCCAATATATTTGGGAAGAAAACCACCTTGGGTCCCCAGTGAAAATAAATCCTTGGCTGGGAATCGAACTTATTTACGGTCGACCACTGCAAATATTTTACCAAATCACCAAATGGAAGGGATGCACCGGCGGCGGGGACGATATATTTGGGAGATGTGCACAATATTAGCAAGTAGGATCGCCGTGCGTTGGGTTTGTAATATCTAGAGGGTTACCTGTGCATAAATCAGGACGGCGGGACTCAGATTTGCATTCTTATTGCCACCACTAATTCTGCTTCGGACATTTAATCGCAGCTGTAGAGCCGCATGTCTCATTTCATATGATGGATTTGAATCGGCTTACGAAGTGATATATTGATCGTAAAGTACGGTGTACATTTACTAGATTTTTGCCTAGTTTGTTTGTAAATTTTATACGGGAGACCTATGATAAAAAAGTATATCTATTTTTATAAACATGACACCCTTATATTTTTTTTTTATATTTTGGTTAGATTTACGAAGTGAATGCGTAAAGTTGGACACATTTATCATATAACGAGGATGGTTTTATAGTTACTATCATGATTTTAGATTGCATGATAATTTCATGCATCTCTAAAATGAGGTTGTCATTAAATTGTGATGCTATAAAAACAAAAAGAAATTTTAAGGTTTTGGGGTAGTTCGATAATTGTTTGAATTGTTTTACTTAGTTCAAATGCAAAATACCTAGAATGTAGACCTATAAGATACTTTAAACTAGACCTAGCTGATTTTTTCGTGCTTTGCAAGGGAATGAGAATATTGTGATTTTTGCTTCAATAAAGACATTACATTCATTTTTACCCAATTTATCACAGATAATTTGGGAACGGTATTTTAAGTCCTTCGGGTTTACAAGAAGCTAAAAATGGAGGACGGGTAGCAAACTTATAGAAGAGTGTGTATCGAAATAAGACGCGGTTAGAGAACGGAGGTAATAGACAGCGCTGATTGGCTGAGCAGCTAGCGCTCCTACTGGTGGGGAGGGTAATCAGGTTTGTCACTGCCTGCCTCAGGCGCTGCCAGGCGGTGATGATGGCCTGGGAATTACGTTTACGATCCTTACCTCCAGGTCTGGGAAGGAACTGCATTAGGAAGATAATGATTTTAATCTCACAGCCAACAGTCAAGAAAATATGTCTTCCGAAACAGAACACCGTCGTTTATTTCCTACCGGAAACTAATCTCGGGGTTCTCCGCAAAATGATTTCTTGTTTTCCGTTCACCCTCGGGCTCAGGAAACGCCCACGAGCTTCCACCCTTTTGGAATGGAGTTTTCAGTTTTTACTATACACTTCAGGTAGTTAACATGTACAGTAACATAAATTTCTAAGGGACGCTTTTCAAATTGTTAAAATAATAAGTATTTACTATGTTTTTAAATAGTTATCAACTTAATCCTTTTTTACCGTAATCTATTACGTTTCTACAAAATGTAATGTAATATGCACAAACATTTTATTATTCGTTATTGCTTTCTAGTACATTGTGCATGAGCGAAAACCCCTGTTCAATCCTTAGGACAAGGAGTGAATCAGCAATAATTAGCTGTTTTTATGTCACTTACATTAAAAATTATACCATAACTCCATAATATACTCGTTATTGTAGATATATATTGAATACAACTCCTACACACTTGATAATACTAATCGGACCCTTTATTTCACAACAGGGAAAATTATAACTTATTCCACGGTGCATAGTGAATATATTTGTTTGGTGAATATACTCCATTAAATATTTTATCATCCTAGGTCAAATCCAATTTTTGATAGGGAATGTATCGGCTCTAAAAATAATCCTCTTAGTGAAAACTTCCCCGAGGAGACAATTGGTTATAAAATATTTACGCAGCCATCGGAGAATCCAACCGTCTCTAGTCGAAGCGTTCCATAATCCACAAGAAACTCCCCCACTAAACACTGCACAAGGGCGGGGTAAGATTTCTCTAAATTAATTTCGCTACTTAAGAAACATCAAAGAGGCGTTGTCGTCTTCATCAGAAAGACTTTCACGCCCTACGGGATTATCAATTTCATCAGAGTCGTCTCCCGAATAAAGGCGGATCACAAAACCATTTGTTTTGGGAGCGGGAATTAAAACACAACATTGTTTTCGGGGAACAACATTAAGGGAGATTGTTTTAAGTGGCTCACTCCACTCCCCTTTCGGTCCGATCGTCTTGTTTGTAAACTGAGTAATCCAAGCCTGGGGCTTCACCCTTCCCGTTGGATGAGGTGCAATCAAAGTCAAATTATACCTAGAACGACGTGTGGAACAACTAAGTTAAATGGGTACAGCGGTATGTAGACCCTAGGGGAGAGAAAATCCACGCAAATCAAACGGTAATGGAAACAAGGGGAACGTTATGGGGAGTAAGGAACGTGATACATTGGTGTTAGTATAAATAATAAATATTTTAGTTTTTAATTTTAACCTCAACACTATGTAGACTGACTTTGTCCTAAGGTGTGTGTTTTGCGACAAAATATTTATAGTTTAGTATATTCACAAAGTAAAAGTTCAACTATAATAAAAATCTAATTAGAATTAGTGAAATTCAAACAAGGCAAATATAATTCAGTCTGTACTCAGAAGATGGCGTAGCGTGATGTGAATTTTTTTTTTATTTTGAGATTCAGACAAAGCATAAAAAAGGTACCCATCATTTCTTCGATGTGCCAATTTAGAATGTTATTCCTCCAACATAAAGTCAAATAAGAGGTTAGTTAAAATGCATTTTCGGTCGTATATATACAACTCCTTAATTAAGTTTTAACATTTGACAGCAATAACGTGTGTTTCATTAAATAAGTAGTTTTTGTAGCTGCAAATTTTCAGACAAAATTTAATTATTTATAAGTTTACCATTGTTTAAATATCCCATTACATGAAAATCCAATAGTGAAAAATCGATCGAGCAAACATTTCCAAGCCCTCTAGCAGGTAAATACAGGAAAGTAGGAATATTTGATCAAGTGTGTTAAAGGGCGCATTCAGAATACAATGTAAATCAAGAGACGTTGCTTGGAAACAGGGGCTGCATCAGCGGTGATGTTGTGGCCTTGTTATCTGTTGACAATGTTTTCCCAAGAGATGTTTAGCTAGTGACTGTCAACATCGAGATATTTATCCAATAACTGTTAACAAATAGATGTCTATCTGACCACTGTAAACATAATAAGGTGTTTATGACAGGTTAACTATTGTTAAAATGAAGTTTGACTATTGATTCAATGCTATTGAATGTGAAAATTAATTATAATTAACTCACGTCTGAAAAACACTATTGAGTAAAAAACTTATTTTTAATAACGGCTGAAAATTATTTGGTTTGTTTTGACCGTGAAAATGGGTCTTTAATTAATTATATGTTCATTTTAAACATGTAAACTAGATTTATGAGTAGTGATAACAATATGTTCTTTTTCTTCAATAAGTGTTGACCCACAGATATTATTACCGCATGTCTGTAAAAAACACATTATTAATCATTATTTATCGACTAGTATGCAACCATCTAACAACAATTAGTTGAAAAATGAAGTCGTAGTCAACCCATCGTCCTTTTAATCATGGGGTCCTGGGTTCAAATCCCGCCAACCACCGATGGTTTTAGTGGAATTAAAGTTTTAATTCCGCAAACTCTAGACATAGCCTGAAGTAATGTGGAAACAAATTTCTGCGTTAAAGCCTGGTAAAATAAAATAAAAATATCTTTCAAACTAAACAAATGTATAACACACGAATCTAAATTACGTTCCTCCCTAATAACTGATTCCAAAAAGACAATCACGCATAAATAGATTATGGTTTATATAATTCTTTTGTTGAATGTTTCGCCAGAAATATTTTTCCAAAGAAATAATATTTGTCCATTATGCACAATCAGCATTTACTCTATTAGTTATCAACAAAATGCAGTATTCCTTAGTGTCTGTTAAAACAATTGATAGTCGTAGCTGTCAGAATGGTTGTATTCAACTGAGCTATATGGTTATTATTCCTAGAACTAATCGACCATCAAGTGACTATTGAAATATTAGTAATTCGAATGACCGCTGTAGATAACGTTGCTTTATATGTTCATTGTTGTCACTAGTTCCAAATTTAATCGAACTTTAGGCTTAGGTTAGTAATCATTCCTCAGTAGTACATTATATTTCTCGGAATATGTTTTAGCCTTTAATGTACTTTAAACTATTAAACTAAGATGTCCGTTTAGCCTTCGTCCTTTATTGCGAACACGTTTAGAGTAATTGAAAAGCCACCCCTTAGGCTTTAAACAGTTCGATGATTCAGTTAGGATTTGCCAAACACACCCCAGGTTGGGGCAGAAGATCAAAAGATAATTTAACAAACAGGGGATTTATCAGAAGTGAATCAATTTTGAGCGGACAGAACGGCTTCAGGGACTTTACACCCTACGGTCCCTAGAGCCCCTGCAGCAGCAGCACTTTCCAAATACATTTGTTCATATATTGTAATACTAGCTGTAACCCGCGGGCTTTGCCCCGTTTAACTTCTTAATTTTCAAGATTATCTCGTTCGCATGGCTCAATCACGTCCTGGTTGAAATTTGTTCGCTACGCTCACTCACCTTTAGGTTGGAGCTCGTTCGCTGCGCTCACTTGCCTTCAGGATAGCTCGTTCGCTACGCTAACTCGCCTCCAGGTTGAAGTTCGTTCGCTACGCTCACTCACCTTTTGGTTGCAAATTAGCTGTTGTCATAAATGTAAAAGAAATAATAGTGCTGCACCCTGTTGGTAATTTTTGTAACTTTAATGCTATTGAACATCACAGAACAGAACCAACTTGTTTAATTGAAACAGCTGTTAAGATTCAATAATTTCATTTCTCATAAGGTTAACATGGGAAACTCCAGAGCCACTGGGGCGGAGCCCGAAAGGATTTTTGAAATAAGAATATGCCTATATGTTAATCGGGAATGTGAGCTATCATCATGCCAAATTTCAGCCCAATCCGACCAGTATTTTTCGCGTTCACTTGTCACAAACATACATCCATACATCCATACATCCATCCATCCAAACTTTCTCATTTATAATATTCAAAAATTTATTATATTACGCTTAACCGTTAATAGGTGTCTCTTAGCGATATTATTTAGCTTTCATAAACCAACATTGCCTATTACAAATTATAAAATATTATAATTTAATTAATATTTTTATTAGCTGGCTGGGTAGCCGAGTTATTATAGTGCTCGCATAGCAATCAAACGGGTGGGTAGCTGGTCCCATCCATGATGAAAGCCAGTACCTAGCTTTTTGAAGGTAAAAAAAGAAAAATTATACCCAACTCTCCCTGATTATGTGCGCAATTGGGCTTTAAATAATATAAATGTTCCTGATGATGTATCTTAGTCATTGCTAAAGCAAGTCATAACATAACACACCATTCTACACCATCGATCTCTATAATAGACATCGATGTTCTAAACTCAACCTTCACCAATATTTAGGTTTAAATACGCAACTAGGTGGCGTCCCCATCTCAATTGGTAACAAATAATGATATCCACAATTTTATACTCATCACAAAACCTGTCTTAGAAATTAGTTGAAACTCTTAAACGTCAAGCGGTATGTGCCCATTATTATCATACTGTTAACTTTAAATATTACAAAATGCACGAAAAAAATTCCAAATTTAAGAGAGAGAGTCTTTGTTACAGGAATTGTGTAAATTGGAGTTGTTGATGTTTTGAAATTATTTAAAATAAAAATAACCACTCTATGCGTTTCTTTGGCTTATTCATAACTTTTAGTAACCGACATTTATCAATTACGTACATTACCTTTGTACGTAAAATACATAATCGTTTATGATATTTCGTTCATAGTACATAACTACGTAACAGATAAATCACGAAACGACTTTTATGGTTTACTGAACGAACGAGCTGTGAAGGAAACAAAACGTGAAATATAATATTTATAGACATGTCGAAGATATGACACTAAATGCTGCACGTTCTGGCAGCGTCTCTACAGCGCTACGATCACGTTCAGCAAACACGGACACTGCAAACGTAGCGTCAAACACTTAGCGGCAGCGTTAGTTTGTTCTGTTTATAGATATCGAAGTATAAATCTAAAATATAAAAATGTTACAGTTTATTTTAGATACAGCAAATTAAATCTTATTTGCTTGAAGGTTTTATTTAATATCTTCACCATCTGGAAATTTAAAAATTTTTGTATTGCTTAGATCAAAGATGTTTAATTTCCCTACTTGTTCTGGAGATTACAACGCTTTCCCATTTTATTTGCAAATATATTTTTCGAAAGCTCCTTACAACTTCTTCTTATTCTTTTTACAAAACCAGCCCCGTCTTAATCAGTGTCATTGAATTGGATCCACTGGATCTAATGTCCGAAAAAAATCATACAAAATCAGTGGCAAAATTGAAACGATCGTTTTAATCACAGGTACATAGTTACGTATAGTTCTAAACAAATTTGTTGATTTTCAAGTCTGCAATTTTTTCTTTTCTAATGAGTTTTTTTTATGAAGCATGGAACAGTGTTTGAATAGCTACAAATGTGGTTGATTATGTTTCTAATTGCAACGTAAAATATCACTTATTATCCATCCTGATAATAATTTTTTAACACTTTTCTAGTCAAACCCAACTCGGTGACGCTGTTCCGAACGTCGTTGGCGAAGGACAACGAACTGAAGAACGCCACGAAAGTAGGGCCTCTTAGTGAGGACGATGAGCTTCTACTGATCTGTGAAACGGAGGGTGGTAAACCCACCCCTAGCGTCCAGTGGTGGAATGGCTCATCACAAATACATGGTGAGTATTCACTGATATATACATAGTGTTGTGGTTATACCATACATACACATGCACAATAATTGTGTTGTAGATTCGTAACTGGGTTTAACATGTTTCGTATACGACCATGTTCTTTGGAAACTTAGTGTGAAAACTGCCTTCTGTATTTTCAAAAAAATATATATTCATCAGATTTTACTATGTACTGACCTGATATTGTCGTGTTTAAAAATTATACCATACAGCCAGGCCCGAATCTTCATTTCACATTTTCTATTAATCATATCGACAAGGAAGGTGTAACTATATTCTGTTCATTGCATCGTTCCATAACAGTACCATTGGGTCCGAATTTTAATTTTAGTCTTGGTATGGGACATTTTAAATAACAAAAGTGGGATGCAATTATGTTATGTTATTACTTACTGTACTAGCAGATCTTTTCAAACAAAATTACTTCTAATGTGTAATCGAAATCAAAGTAAACGATTGCCAAATTATCACAATTCCTATTTTCATTTTTGTATTGTTATTTTGTTGAGTATCAAAGGTTGTTATTTAGTAGAACGTTACACCTTCTGGTGGTAAAAGAACATAAAAAAATCTGTAATTTAGCCGATGTAGGTTAAATAGTCAAAACTATACAAATAACACACATTGTTATAAATTTGTACCAACTGTCTGAAACATGTAAACTAATACAACATAACATATTATTAGAAAACTAGGTATAATGCACTAGATTATAGTTTCTAACATAAATTAAATAATATACTTACAATATTCAAACTTACAACAACTTGTTTTGTGTTTAACTGACTGGTCAAGCCCTTAACTCAATTTGATCCTAATTTAGGACAACATTGGATCAAAGACCCTGGGCTGGTCCACTGGGAAGTGTTTCCTGAAAATATTAAAAACGCTCTCATAAGTCCATCGTATTTAAGATAAAAGCGGTTACAGTCTGACCTTTGGTGGATGAAAATGCCGGCGAAATCTCCTTTGTCGTTTGAAAAAACCAATCCCGCGGTCAAACAAAACGCGCATCAAAGAGATGCGCCCCTCGGCGCTCGGCCGATGAAACAAAATTAGATAAAAACATTACAGGACTTTGCCGTTTGTTATTGGTGGAAAAGCTGATTCCCAAGAGTGGCGGAGTCGCCGGATATCCCGTGCGAATTGGCACACTTAGCTGCGATTGACCTTCTTCTCCAACTTTACGGTGTTTTCAATAGAAATGTGCAGAAGAATCGAACTGTTTATAGTACCCTGGGGGTGTAGTGAAGTTATCATAGTACTCGCTTTACTGCACTTTACCCTGGATATAAGAGTTTTCGAGTTTAGAGTAAACATAATTTTACTATTTGATGTGCTTGAGAAGTTTTCATACCTTCATGATTTGTTTGGATAAAGATATCGCAAAAATGGTGTGGTTCATGAGTTGTGGTTTGGAATTTGGTACATTTATTTTAAATTATTTTACTAACATGTCTTCAGATAAGGACATGCATAAAATATATAATTAATAAGTTAGTTAATCGTTAGATGTAATTTGTAAGATTATCCTGAAATAAGGGTTCTCCCTTTTATATAAAAAAATATTTCTTTAAATAATTTCTTTGAACTTAAATATCAAATTTAAAACTATATACACATCATAATGATGCTGTAACTATCTCAAAGTCTACATTAGCTCTTTAAAGTAGTTAAAATATATTTATGTTTCGCGTGTATAGCATCCATCATGTTTTGTTAAGTTTATATTTAATTTTAAAAGGCAGTTCAGAATTGATTAAGATCAAATACTGCAGCCATTGTTATTCCTGTCCTTGTTTTGCCTCGCGTTTAGTTTGTTAACGAACAACAAACAAAAACAGTAAAATAACTCAAAAACTTCGTATTCAAGCATCATAGTATAATAGAGAGAAACCTTTTTATTGGTACACCAGGCTAAATTAAAATACTAAAATTGATTGATTGATACTTAACCAGCATTATCGGGTCCACACATGAAATATTTAGGCCTACTTGAGTTTTTGGTGAGTCGGTCGCTCAGTCGCTAATGACACAGAATTAAGCCCAAGAAGCAATGTACCTACAACTACTTTTTATCAGTACAGTTCACCACTTGCTTTTGCATACATTCCTCGCACATTTCCCGAGCCCATCCCTAGTAGCACAAATATGTATTTTATAAATATTTTATATATTTAAAATTGTATTTGATAGAACCTCGAATAGAATATATAAATAATATATCTTTAATAACAGTTGGATATATTCAAATATATATTTAAAATATTACCAAAAAGCAATGCAAAATATAAATTAAATATAAGTTTTGAATATATAAAATAGATTCATAATATATATTGATCAAATAAGTATAGAATCTATAATATAAATATTAGATATGTATATTTTTCCTATTAAATATTTAAAAAAATTATGTGTTGAGAATATTTTAAATATATATATAAAATATTTTTGAAACTATATTATATATTTAAAGTATTTACAAATACATTTTGAAACACGTCATTTATTTTTATTAATAAAATAATAATATATTTGTAGAATATAGGCTATAGCCTATAATCTTTTATAATTAGCAAATAAATAATTTGCATCTTTTTGTTTTTTATAGTGTCTATCAATTTATACATGCATTTTTATATGATAATTGCTCTTATGAAAGCGTTAAAATTAAGTTAATAATAATACGTACTCTGAATGGTGTCACTCTATCATGCACGTAAAGAAAAAATTACGCATATGGTTAAGAGGCAGTATACATGTTCGGCAGCTACATTTGGGTCAAAAGAGAAAAAAGTGTTGATGGGTTTTATTTTTTAAATTGCAATATGTGACAATGAATGTGATCATAGAAATCTCTAATGATTGGCTAGAAAAGGGTGCTAGCAACTGGCGACCGTTTAAGAAACGAATTACGGAAAAACAGATTAACAGAATCATATTATACTGTTGTATCAAAAAAATTTCAAGTATTGCAACCATTGCAACTGACGGCCGCTCTTTCACCATTTGAAAACAAATTATATCAACAGTCACAAGTAGCTCAGAGGTAAGGTAAGAGGCTCACAAGTCGAGGGACCCAGGTTCGAGACCCACCCGGGTCAAAAAAATTGTATCCAGTAATTTTTTCAAAATTTGTTTTTATTAACTATTTAATCAATTTACTCAACTGATAATTGTGTTTTTCATACTAAATCTTCATTATTTTATGTTTTTATGTTTAGGCCTCATGGGATGTTTGGAAGAGATATTAAATACATTTTTTATTTAAATATTATTCACTAAAATATATTATTGGAACATATTTTTTTAATATTTAATAGATTCAAAAACATATTTTATATGTATATAATATATTTTAAATATTATATAAAATTGACATTAATACACACTTGAGATATATAAAATAGATTTTAAATATATTTATTGATATGTATTTAATATATATTTGTGCTACTAGGGGTGGACGGGCAAACTTACAACAAATCTTTTGTAGTTTGAACTTTTTGTTTGTGTTTGATTAATATTTTTCCAACTCTTAGTGGAATATTACTTTGTGGAAAAATTATTACTTACTCTTTTTTACATAAAACTTGTTATTTTCAGGGGACACAGAGGTTGAGCTGCAGAACGGACAGACTGTAGCTCGTAAGAAGATCAAGATCACCATTAGTAGGGGAGACCTTGGTGCGAGGTACGAGTGTCGCGTCCAGAACGACGCACTAGAATCTCCTTTGGTTGCCTACGTGGATCTAGATGTCTACGGTAGGTTAAACATGCTAAATATCATATTTTAAAGTTTTTCACACAAGATATGTTAGTTACACAACACAAAAATGTTAGGTCCCTTCTTTATTCTCTCGTAACTCTAATTCAAGACTTGAGTGAGGAGATATATTTTTTTAACAAAAAATTATGCTAATACACGTCTCTAAAAGCTAGTAAATATCTAACATAAAAACTGCATAGCAAGTTAATTTATTATTTGGTGCACAATAGTGTTTTTCGTCTAGGTGATAACAATAATTATTTTTAAAAGTTCATTTTTTTCATGCTACTGTACTTGTTTTCCTTTCTTAGATTTTTTCACTACTTATGTACTCAACTAGTTAGTTGCCACACACAAGTTTTTTTCATGTAAAATTGTGAATGCGTTTACAAACAAATGAATAAATAATAACCGTCTAAATCAAAGGTTTTAGACTAAAGTAGTCATCAAAACACTGATAGTCAATTAATTGAAATATGCGTAGCCAATGGGTGTATTATAAACATATTTTATTTTAAAATTGGCAATAGATTTTTTTTTATCCTCAACCATTGGGAGTAAAAAATAGTATGTCATGTTTCAAGTTTAACATGACATAATAATAAACTAAAAAAGTAAACAAAGTAAAGATAAATTTAAGTAAACAGACCAATATATTAGAAGTTGGATATTTAAGAACAACACCAATTCCAACTCATATCCAAAAATATTGTATCAGTTTAACCAACTGTTACAATTTGCGTACAGAATATTTCGGGTTAAAATTTAAATTAGGTAGTAAAAATTTGAATGGACATTAGTAATTTATAAAATAAAAATGTGAATAGTCTATAAGTTTGTCTATTAGTTCGTCATATCTGTTGAACCTGAATAGAATTTTGATTGAATGGCTGAATCCTAATCTCCGGTTTGTGAAATGGGATGTTGTTTAGCTCTGTCCATTAGTTTTCCATGTCAACAGATTACATGACAAGTCATAGTTCATCATGTAATGTATGTGCGTTGTAATTTAACATGGCTCTGAACGGAGGGAAAGCTGAGTATGTTTTTAGTGTTGAAAATATGCTCGGGGCAGTAAATTATTGTCAATGTTTAACCACCTCATGTTACTCGTATATTTAAATTGTTGAAATTGGTTAAACAATTATACACATTTATTTTACTGTTTATGCATTCCATGGTTCTGGACAAAGTGTCGAAAGATAATAAATATCAACAGACGTGAACACATGAAAATGTTTCGAGTTCTAGCTAAACTAACAACTTTGACACACTACGCAAATGAATTTCCTAGAATCGAACAATACAAATACTATCGTATCGTCAACAATTAATTAGTAACGTTCCACGTATAAGACGTCCTTTGAGCACGTCTGTGAGTTTGACACAAAACCTTTATCGTTTCAAACGCGAAATTTCTAACAGTACACATGTCTACACAAATACTCCCAATTAACACAGCTCCCTTGCGCGATCCTTTCACAAATTAGACACAAATTACATTTTCAACAACTCTCAACAGAAAATTAATCCTTTACAAATCGCTTTCACTTTTCGCTGGGGTCGCGTATGAAAAATTACGCTCTATTTGACTTGTTCTGTAAATGTGAAGATCTCAGTGTCGTTAGGACTCGTTAACGACAGATTACACTGGAGGACTCTTCAGCTCGTACGTTCTCCAATTGGAGGCTGCAAGAAACCCGGGAAACTGGTGTGTTTTGCGAGGGAGACCCGGCGGTGAATAATTGATTACAAACTAAACCGTTCGTAATGAACAAGTTCTTGCGGTCCGTAATCACATCCTCGTAATTGACAAGTGCAAGCGTAAGTGCGAAGTAGAAGTGCGAACTTTCCTCGCAATCACCTTGGTTATACCTCAGTGCATTTTAGTTAGTAAAGTGTAGACTCCTTAGGATTGGAATTTAATTATACTTTTAAAAAAGTTTACCAACAAAAATAGTATTCAAAAAGGTTACACTTACTATCGAATTAGAGTTAAATCATACCAAATTGTTTCTTTTGGTTCTTCGAGAAGATGTCTTACTGTCTAATATTCCAAACGTGTCAATATCCCGCTAATAACATCATGTTGTAAGATATTGAATTCAATCTAGGAACTCATTGTGGATTTTACATTTATAAACTCTTATTAAAACATTTTTAACATTGGATTTGTTGTCACTTTCATCTAAATATAGGATTTTCAAGCACACAAGTAGAAATATTACGGATAATAAAATTGAGACTTGGTATATTTATTTGAACCATTTTAACGTATAGAAGGCTTATTTTTAACGTAATGTATGTTGTTTACAAATACTTACATTAGATATTTAAAAAAATCATTTTACAAACTAATTGGGGTCCATTATTGAAAAGCTCGTTATGTATTGTAAGGTTGTGTAAGGTTGTAAGGTTGTTGTATGTAAGGTTTGATTTTCTTTCCCTCTTGGCTACTGCCAAGTTATGCAAGTTTTTTTTTATAGATGTTTGATGCAATTTTTATAAAAAATAGTGTGGTTATATAGAAATTCCTCCTTTAAATTTTCCCTCATAGATCAATCTTTCAAATACAGACTTTTTTTAAATAGTTTCTTAGTGTTTCTTAAAAGTACCCTAGTTTATTACTTAGGAAGACGATTTTGAACATAACAAAATGTAATCATATAACTTATAGATTATTCATATTGCAGTGCGACCTCTATCACTGAACCTGTCAGGAGTGGAGCACCACGTGGTGCAAGGGACCAACGTACTTCTGCAGTGTCTAGTGGTGGGGGCGAGACCAGCGGCTACCATCACGTGGTACAACGGCACGAACCCAATACCTGCCAACTCTACTGAGCGACAGATGCAGGTAAATACAACATATACATAGAATATGAGGCGATACATATGATTAGAAAATAGCTGCGGACAAGCCTACTGAGGCTTTTTGTGGCTTTGAATGAAATTTATTTTGTTTATAATGTTTTATTGCATTAAAGCAAACTGGTACTAGACCAGTTCGCTTCAATACAACAAAACATTAGAGCGTGGGACTTTGGTCCCTGAAGTCCCAGGATCGAATTGTATCAAAATCTCCTATAGATTTTGTCTAAGTGATAATGCCGCACCCAGGCCTATCCTGATGTAACTTGTTTAACTACTATGAGTGCCTCCTGCCAAAAATAAAATTCCAAAAAAACCCTTCTGTCACGAGGTTTATACATATTAATTTATTTTTAATCGGTTTAGAAATCCGTTATTTTGTTTCATTACGTCCAAAGGCTATCAAAGTAAAGTACGAATTAATATATTGAAACCATTATAAATCAAATGTTTTTTTGCAATATACAAATAAATATATATTACCTTTGACAAAAATGAGCATTCGTAAACTAGTCAGTCCAACCACTATCAAAACGAAGTAGTAGCCAGCTTCTCTATTATACTTAGTAGTTAAAGGACGGATAAAGGAGGGTTCCGAACTATTGACTGTGGTGGTATCGAACGCATAAAAAAACTATGATAATTGGAGGGATTTGAACCCTTGACATCAGCACAAACCATTATACGTATACTTTTATAAAATTAAAAACGAATTAAAACCCTATTTCGTATTTCCAAAGGAACCAACCACATAATGTTTGAACGACAAACGTCGTCTGCTTAAACAATTAATCACGAGAGATTGCGATGTTTAGCGACTTGACGACGTGAGGTGGAGTGAGTGGATCGCGATTGTGCAACAAATAACGATATCGTTTGCAAACTCAGATGTGCGACTGGAGTCGGAATTGGACCAGTTTGAGACAGTCTTGATACAGCTCAATTCAGGTTCAATAGGCCCAATTACAACGAGACACGCTCTCGCAGATACAGAGACGTTGCTGCGGGCTTGTCTTTGTGCTTTGCACATCTACAATGTGAAATTGATTCTACGATTAGGTGTTGGTTGTTAGGCGGGGGTTGTGTGGTTCTAAAGTCTAAATAAGAGACGTAAGGTTACATGTTATTTTCTGGAAATTATGTATTTATTAAGTTAAATATATAACTTCGGCTATGGAAGTTTGTGTTTAAATCGCCAAACATGTTTAATCTACCTAACTGTACAATACAAATACTTTCAGTTTTGGTGATGTAAGATGGTTTGAATTATCACATATAATTACCATACGATCATTGACATACACTAACAAATATCATGCAGAGATAATAATACAGTAGGCCTAATTTTACGGCTACTTGTAACCACTGCCATGTCAAAAGTACTGGTTTAGTCAACGTCAAGACTTTATACTTGTAAATTTCCAATAGTATTGCATACTTTTTATGCTATACTATGAATAAACCTTGACTAAAGGCCACTTTGAGCGAAATACATTTAAAGAATAATTTAAAAATGTTTGATGAGGCATCATTTAATTTTAAATATGCAACTACAAAAAAAAACTCTTACTTTTATTGTAGTTCCCGTGTACCTTAACATCTTACAGCATCTGTTGGAATAATTAAGTTTGGGTGGATCCTTTTTCACGTTTTTGTAAAACATTAGGCGGTAAAATGACAAAACACCAAGCCAACCCACACACCCCATAGCCTACACCTCACTTTAGATGTTCATTAAGCGACACCCTGTGTAATGGGTTGGCAGCGTTAATGTCGGCAATCCCTTACTAATTAATTGACGATCGCCGGGACTGTAACCGTTTATACCCAGCTTTGACAAAAAGCGCTGTTAGTATGTCACATTTAACTTTCGCCCGGTTAACTACCCTTTAACACACCCCTAAACAAAATCGCAGCTAATTGGCCCTAAACACTGGCGTGTTGCCGAATATTGCCGCCAAAACAGCACGCGGCCAATTACGCGGGAAGTGACGGCCCCCCACCCCGCCATTTTGGCCGCCACATTGGATGCGAATGGAACGGCGTCCTAACGGACTGGAAGGTAAAGGCCTGTTCACACCGGCGTAGCCAGACGTCTGCAGACGTATTCGGTGTATTAATACGTCGCCAGTGCACTGTTCACACCGCAGCTACGTCTGACGCCTACGTAGCCGGCAGTTGTTTGTTTATTTTATTATATTATTTTATATTCGTTGATATTTGCTAATTTATTGTTTATTTTTATTACTGTTTCATGAATTTCTGTTAAGATTGCTACGGTTTACTTGCAGCTTTTGTAGTACCCTGAAAAGTCGGTTGATTTATGTGTTGACAAAAATATTTCACTGTAATTTTTGGCCGTATATAGTAGACTATAAGATTTGCGCTATATTATAATATACAAAAAAATATTACCAGAGAACATGCAATAATTTTGCTCATCTATAAGAATTTCATAATAAAATAGTATATTGTGTAAGTAAGACGTAGGCCTATGTCTAGAAATAATTCATTATAATGTTTCATAATGTCAACCCACTATATGAGCAATAGTGAATACTATACCATATTAAGATAGTCATTGTTTTTGATAAGGAGATTTGCAAGCATAAACAAAAAAAAAATTGTGGACATTAGGTACTCGTATAATGAAGTATTATTATATTGATCATATACAGTTGTCATAAGATTGTTATATTATAGAATGGTTATAGTCTAATTTGAATGTGATAGATTAATGCGATTTAATGATTTTTAAAAGTTATAATGAATTTTTGTGTTATAGTCCAACATTTACCAATAATAAATTAATTATAAGGTGGAGGGAGGGTGGCGGTGACAGCCCGGTGTGCTTGTGCGCATGCGCGTATTCGGCTATGCGAGCTACGCGTAGCTAGCCGGCGTAGCGGCAGCGCCGTAGCTTCCGTAGCTCACGTATTAATACGCCGGTGTGAACACTCTCTATGAATTACATTAAGAGCTACGTCAGCTACGTATTTCGAAAAAGTATTAATACGTCTGGCTACGCCGGTGTGAACAGTCCTTAACGCATAACGCTCCAGATATTCCTGTTACACTTGCAAATTGAATTATTTCAGTCAACCGTGCAGTATCTTTGCAGTAGTGACGCGTTGTCGTTTTATATTCTGCTTTCTGTTTGTTTTACTTTTGATTTTGTTCATTGCGTAGTGATTTGAATTAAAAGAATCAATAACATTTTAGTCGTTACAACGTATACATATTGAATAATTAACTTCAACTAGATTGGCGAGTGAGTTCAACTATCGAACAAGTGAGTTACTATTTAGGAGATAGTAATTTAGTTTTTACACAGTTTCATTAAATTTATGGTGGACATATTTGGGATTCCACTTACTACCCAACCATCCATCAAAAGGACAAATGTAACTACAACAATAATTTAAAAATGAACCATCAACAATCAAAAGTTAGCTTAGCACTTTTGTAAACGCTGTTTTACAAATTTGTCTTTGTAAACTAACATTGCAAACATGTATACGTAAATTGTCCCATCTACGTCTCTGCAGTGCTACCCCGTAGGTGAAGAGTGGGGGAGAAAACCCTGTAAGTCGTTTTGTCTCATTTCCGCTAGGGGCGCCGGCGTCGCATTGCCTCAGGCAACTCGTTATTGTCACAGGCCACTCGCAGCAACGGTAATTTATTTCACAGATCCAATCCAGCTGCAGAGTAACGCCTATTGGATTTTTCAAACAACAGACGTCATGTTGAAATGTTTGTAAGATTATTAGCCTTATTTTCTTCACCACATAACTTTAATTGAAACTCCGGTCTGTACGACGTACGATGTGTTCGTCAAATTCGTACTAAATAGAAAGAAAGCTAGAGGATAAAAGCATACTATTTATGTGTAAATATGTTGTTTAGCAAAGCACTGGATGAATAATATAAATGGTTTGATTGATTGTAAAAATGAAATAAGTATGTAACAGTATTTTAAACTACAATGACCATGTAGATTTTTGAAGAATATGCATGTAGTACTTACAAAACTTATTAAAAGACCCTACAATTTGGCAAACTAAAGTACTTTTAGTTACCATACAATTTCAAACCGATAAACTTTCTTCATGTGAAAACAAAATCCAAACCTCGCATGTAAAAAGTGTAACTAGTTTAAACCAGCATCGTCCCACATTTGCCTGCAAAGTTTTAGATTCAATTACAGTCTCACCTGCTTATCAATAATTACTCTTAGAACTACGGTAACAAACAGGTTGTTTGTTTAACATCTTCTTTGTTGTTTGTGCTTGCTTTGGAACAGAGGAGACTGCCTAAAACCAAAGTTTTTAACACGGTAAGTAACTTTCAACATGTTTGCTGTTCTTCTGATTGGTGTTGTACATGAGCGATACGTGGCTGATCCTAAGTGGAAAACGAATCTTGTTTTGGATTCATTAATTCCATGTTGACAAGCTTTGAATAGGCTGGAATTATCTTATATCTTAATCTACACACACAATCTAAATCTCTTGCAAATCTTAAAGTACTTTATGATCCTTTAAATCATTAAAAGGTTTTCCCACTTCGCTACCTAAGACAGTAAATTAATTTCAAAACAGAATTTTAAAAGTGATTGTAACCAAATTTATAAAAAAAACTTTGAATAAAATAAAATCTGTGTTGTCTTCTGAATGTGGTTGTATTAAAGAGTTATTTTTACATTATTCACATTAAACTTCCATGAAAGGAAATTAATCATGTAGCCACCCGCATGCAAGCTCAATAAATGATTTTGAGAACGGTAGTGAGCATTGCTTCACCTGTATATTTTGTTTATGAAAAGGGTGATGAATCACTAATTTAGAGCTTTTTAGGTTAAAAATAACAAAACCTTAAAGTTCCTACGATGGTATTGATTATTGGACAGAACTGTATGCCCATAAGGTAGAAATTTTAATTTAAAATATAACTACTATTAACTTAATATTTAAGATGTTAGTGTCATAGTTTTAAGACTCTTTTACGAAACACGTTTACTCTACAAACACACATGTAAATAAAACTAGGACAATTCCAGTTAAAACTTCCTTCGATGTGATCAACACAAGTTTGATCATACTTCATGTTATGTTAGTTTTGAGTTTCTCGTTTTTGAGCTCACACACGTATATCTCATTTCATTTAAGTACATCATTCTAGTTCAATAAAAAAGGTCATAACAAATGAAACTCTAAATTTGCTAGTTTACTTTTCACAACCCACAAACCTCTAAAAACACAAAGGTTTTACTCATTGAACTTTTTAAACTGTTTCATTGAACCATGTTAAATAACACTCTACATTAACAAAACCTCAACGTCTATATATTTGAAGCTAGATATATCTACAGTAAGTCAAAAAAGTTTCTAATTCATTGGTCTGATATTTGACTGTTAATTTAGCGAATATATTGTACCAAATGCAAATTATGTTATTTTTTTAATTAATTTTCAAGTCCGGTTACGTTAGATCAGGTTGATGTCAAATACATGTTTGAATATTTCATAAAATGATTTGACCGAAAAACCATTATTTTTTTAATAGGTTATTACACTATAGAAATAAGCAATGGTTGAAATACCATATTTCCACATATAAAAATGCTAAGTTTGGCGAAATAAAAAATGTAATATAAAAACTTAGAAACCTACTTAAGTCATCGCCAGTTGGTCCTCAAAGGTGAATCCTAGACAAAAATTATGTTTAATCAAAAAAATATGCGGCAAGTTTCATACTAAGACACATACTCTGGTGCTCTGGAGTATGTTTTCATAACAACCGTTACCTATCATACCAACTTAATCATAACTTCATCATGTTTGCTCCAGACTGACGGAACGTTCGACACGGTGAGTTCTTTGTCGTTCACAGCCACGAGGTTTGAGAACGGAGGATCCTTGACGTGTGAGGCCACCAATGACGTTATGGAGAGCAGAAACGAGGTCCCAATGAGGGACAACATCAAGCTGGAAGTCATGTGTAAGTGTTGGAGAAAGAACAAATTCATTAATTGTAGTAAACATGTAGTGTAAGAATTACGGCCAAAAGATTTTTGTTTCGTTTTATTTCTACGTTTGTAACCGAACGGGTGCAAAACGATTAAACCATTTGACACCCATTCAAAAGATATTATATGACACTGCTTCAAACGGGTGGTATAAAATATAATTCTGTATAAAACTAAATCCCATCTTTTAAAATAGGGCAAACGGAGTTCTAATAAAGTCGAACGTAGAATATTCTCATCTGCCGTTGCATTTATTATTATCATAAACGATAAAACCCCTATTAGGATTTGATCCTGCAAGCTCTCTGACTCAACCTATATTCGAACAAACACTCGGAGAATTGGCTATTGCTGACTATCCTCCCAGCTTGCATATTGCACCGAGATACAATTTGAGATCTTCATGTCCCGGCTCCAATTGCCTTTGAGAATACGTTGTATTATTTTATGTCTAATTGTGATGAAAGCTGTTGGAAAAGCTATCGACTGCAATGTGGTTTAGAAAAACTAATACTGCTAGTTCAATAAAAACTTAAAAAAAAAACTGCATATTGTTCAAATTGATTTTAGACACAGCTCTTTGTTTCTAGTTCATTGTTTGTGACAGTTTGTTCAAGCTTTTTAAAGAATTATTCTTGACGCCTTTAAATTGTTAAATATATTGTGTATAAAATATTTAACATACCTAATACTGATTGGTGAAACTGTTTTCGTCACAACTTAACTCGCAAATTAAATTACATTATTTTAAAATATAATAAATGTACGCTAATACGCTCAGTTACTCTAAGTCTTTTAAGGTTAATTTGAATCAAATTTAATTAAATTTAATGAAGTACTAAAAATAACAGAAAATGTAAAGGCCGCATTTAAGATAATTTATTTTTTAAACCCTCCGTTTCAAGGAACATCTGAAATTATTAGCATATTCTAAGTAATAATCGATTACTGTTTTATTAACAATAATTCGTTTACACAATCACAAATGAATTAACATTTGCAATTAAGCCCGATGGGATATAATATCGAATAATTACTGGTAGTAGTTTATATTTGTTGACATTTATATACTGTTTTAATATGGCCTGATGAAAACATACGGATATAATTACTTTTGTTTCGCTGTTTCCAATGTGAAATGCTGGCGCCATTTCATAATTACATTCCTGTTTTGCAATATTGTTTTGTATTTGCATTTATACCGAAAATGTAATGTGTATTAAAGGGTGGATATCTTTTGTTTGTACTGTGTATATTCCAAGAAACAAACATTATTGCAATATGCAAATTATTGAATAGAATTATTAATTTCCTTGTGATACATAACTATATTGTATTTAAAACTTCCCAAAATCGTCATTCATAATGGAAATAAACATGAATGATGGAAAATATACACTTAATTGGGAAATACTACAAAAAAATATATATGTCTTAACATTTTACAACTTAGTTTTGTAAGAAAACATAAAATATAAGCTGTACACCAGACATATAAAATCTTCACGGTAAATTGTATTTGTTTTAAGGACTGAAGAATGTAGAGTTGTGGTTCCAAGTAACTTCCATCTAAATCGCATTGCTATTCATTTTCGAATTCGTTGGCAGTAAGATAGTTTTGCTGCTTGATATGTGTTTTAATATCTCATATTTATACCCCGTTCCCCGTTTCAGATCCCCCCATTGTGACAGTATACCCCGAGAACATAACGGTGAACGAGTCAATGAACATAACCATACTGTGCCACTATGAAGCCAACCCCTCCACACTTCGTTCAATCAAGTGGTAAGTGCATCGCCAATTATTCTCCCGTTTCCTATGTTTTTCACAATTCCATTTTACCCAATGTTGTAGTCGTCTAGTTTGTAGCTTTGGTTTAGTCTAGCTTGGGTTTAGGGTTGGGTGGTATTTGAAATAGACATGTCCTCAACGGAGATTTAAATTCTAGTTAGTTTCTAGTTAGATTTTTTCTAGTTACACATCGATCGTCTATCGTATTTGAGGACTACGGAACGACATCTTTTTTTTACGACAGTGGCTTTTCACGAGAGCGTCACGAGAGAATAAATGATTAGTGGATGTGCCGGGAATTGAACCCGTCCCTCCCGCACTGAAGTCCGAGACGCTAACTACTAGGCTAGCAACACAACCTTCTATTGTGTTACAACACAATCTTTATCAAGTTATTGGTAAGTTATACATTAATCCATTGTGTGGATGTAATGCAAACGTTCAATAAATCTATAGTTGAAAAATCAGGCCCAATTAAAAAAAAACATGAATACAATGCCATTTGTAGAAGTTCTGATAATTTATTACAGATATTTTAACTTAACGCCAACCAAACAACAGCAATTAAAAATGTTAAACCAATTATTAAACACATGCACCAAACTATATAGCAAATATCCATTTAGTACAGCTGTTTGATTTTATAAAAATCCACCTGTGTTGCCATAAACCAAACTAAAGTTACAAACCATCCAAGCGTGATGTCAAGTCACTAACACCGTATAACCCCCACACAGCATTATAGCCCAGTTCAGTTATCATCCGGCGGGAGTTTTCATCGAGCGCGAGTTTTGGAGGGAAGATTGCGCCCTTATGCGTGTCCCAAGCCCGATAAACGGCGCAACCACTTCAATACCCGCGCATTTGCATGTAAAAGGCTCGCAACGCCTGATATTGCTCGGCGTCAGATAAGGCTGTTTGATTTTTATCAAAACAAAACGCGCAGATGTCGGTTCACGAGGTTTTATAGACTCGAGGGTGTTCAGTCACTTATCTAGACTGGACTCAAAGTCACGTGCAGGGATGCGATTTTACAAAAAGAAAGGCCATTTGGGTTCCGACCACGTAGGAAGTGTGGGTTAATGCTGTTTGCGACGCAGAAATGTTTTCGTCTATCGGTGTAAAAGGTTCGGTGTCCGAGAGTGTTTTCTGCTATTAAAGTGTTCACTGTAAAATCTTTTTTGAAGCTTTTATTCCAGGTTTTATATTTCCAATTAAGTCTTAGGAGGGGGGAAATAAGTATTATATTTTAGATGTACGAATAAACATGAGTCGTTAACCTATCCAAAAAACTTAACTTTTGGGAGAAATTTTCAGTATAAAATAATCGAGCTCAGTTTATTTAATACGTGCTTTATTGGAATGTTTCCAATGTTAGTGGAATGTTTATGTGTGTTTATTTGAATGTTCAAGTTTTCTATTCTTTCATGACAATCATTTAGCTACCATTATTACTTATAAACTAAATGCGATTGTCTGAAACAAACAGAAGTATCAATTTTAGATTTTTTGTTTAATTTTAGTTTAAATTTGTAAGTTATAGATTATTTTGAATGTTATCAACATCCAAATTAACTAGTTAAAACAGCAAAGAAAAATATTCATCATACCAATTCTTAAATCGAATCCTATTTCTAAACGTTATGGTATATTCTACCACGCCAATAGTTACAATTAATTGTGTAAACTAGAACCAAAATAGTACTCCAATGTACCACATTAAATTCAAAATCTAAATATTGACACACAGTTTAGGACTATGACTGGACTGATATTCAAAATTATGTGCCTATAAACAACTCAATTTGTTTAACTGAGCAATTTAAAAATACGACCTTTCTAAAACATTTCTCCCCTGCCCTAAAGGCTAAGTTTTGTCACAGGGGTTGTTTCCACATCCCGCCGCCCTTGGCGGGAAAGCTAGATTTATGGCGGGTAAGGAGAAATCGAATAAAAGAAAACAGATGTATCAAAAGTTGAGGGCGTGGTCTGGATGGCGATGAGTTCTAACCTAGCTTCAGTGATTTGTTGGCGGTGTAAGATACTGGTGCTTTTAACGTTTCTATAAGTAACTAATGCAGTGGTAAATATATCTCAGATTTTTTAGTTTAAACCCTTAAAACGGAATCAAGCTTCAGGAATAAATTACTATGACAAATAAATTCGTTACACATATAAAAATAAAAAGCATTTCCATAAATTTTGGGATATTTCTCAAGTTTTCGGAAGCTTAAGATGGTATGATGAGGTGAAAGATTTTAGTAGGCAGACTTATTTATAATGTGTTTATTAATTGCTTAAAGTAATCTAGCAGTATTGAATATTCAATATATACAAAGTTCTTGACATGTTAACGTGATTTTGAACAATTTACGAACGTCCTATTTTTATTTCAAATATAAACAAGACTAGCGTTATTATAATGTTCTATGCTTGGACATGAGTGACTACACACACGTGAAAATTCCAAGAGGGGGGGGACTACAGGGCCTATCGCCCCCCTCCCATTGGACGCAATAAATATATTTAAACACACATTTCGTCCTAAAAACCTAACAGAGATTTTCGGATACTGTTCTAGACATTGAAAATGGTCTTAGAAAGATAATCAACTGTTTTAAAAGTACAAGATTTTCTGGGTAAAAAGTCCGTACCTTCCTCCTATGTTAAGGGGTGTGGTAGACTCCCCCCCCCAGTAGTCCCCCCACAAGGTCCAAAACCGCTTCTGCACATATAAATGGACCATGAAACATTTTCCTAAGCAGTAGGAAGTACAGACACAATAAATGAAAAGTTTTTAAGCGAAAGGAAGGATAAACGTTTAGTTCGATATTAAATTTCGAAATACGTTTACTGCGAACAAACGCTATAATAGACAACACTGTTTAAGTTCGTGTTTCTTAAAACCCAAAATTATTAAATAGCGTCAGATTTATCAAGACGGTGTTAGAGTTACAAGGGGACGGTATAGGAAATTGTCTCCTTTAGGCCTTATTTACATGAGAGGGGTTAAGGGCTACCTAGACTTGAGTGTTTGAGCCTTAATTCAGCACATTTCCTCCACTGCAAGAACTGGACATTTACTTTGCTACTTTCGGAGCCAGCAGTCAAGTTTCATTTATTTATAGTAGTAAAAGTAATGAATAAACAAGGCTGTTATTATTGTTTACGGCAAAAGATGACATTGGATCGAAATATTATATTGAATGTACTAAATTTAATGAATGACGTAAGGAGCAAATAGTTTTTCCTACAGTTACCTAACAATGTACATGTTCTCTCACTGATTTGAGAAAGCAAAGTGGCCAATTCGCTCATCAGTGAGACAATGTTAACATTGTCTCACTCTAATTACTTTGTCTCACTCCAGATTTGCAACGTGAAGGCACGAAATAGTGAGCGCGTAACATGCAGGCAACGTCGTAAGCGCGCGAAATACGTTGGCAGCACTGGCTGTAAATCAGCTGGTCAGCTGTTGTACTGTTGTATTTGTCACTTCACATTAAATGTTATATTAAAAGTTCACTTCTGTGTAAAAATAGGTTATGTTTCTTCACCAATTTATTTGTTTTATGGTAACTGTAGGAAAAGTATAATGTGCAACTAGAGTTCAAAGTACAATTGCCTCACTCGAGAAACCATTCCTCACTCGCCTACGGCTCGTGAGTAAGGATTTCTCTCGAGTGAGTCAATTGCTCACTTTTCTCACTAGTTGCACAAATAACTATTGTTTGTGTTCGGAAAACAAAACAGGGTTTTCAGTTCCTTTTTTGTAACATCCTATTTTTTATCCTAAATTTTAAGAAAGAATATTTTGTTCCTATTCAACAAAGTGCCGTATGATTTTATTTAAATCTTAATTTACAAATAGTGAGATGTTCATCAATTATATTATACAATACTGTAAGGAGTTAACAGGTACTTACCTCCTACCTCGACTTCCCTTATCACTAATGTATTTAAATAAAATCATGCTGATTAAAAAAATATATACTTTCATTGTATGTCTCATTGAAACAAAATTTTCAATCTTTGAACATCGTTCTGTTTAACTATTCCAAAACAAAATGGATTTTTTAAATAAAAAAAACATGCGTTTTTCTGCAATAAAATACAATACTATTTTTCACCTTTTAATACTTGTTTCTTATACTGATTATAAAACAACATTTCGTCAGCTGTGAGCCAAACTTTCAGGATGGCACATATACAATCACATTACGTATTCCGACCGCCACAAACGTTAACTCGCAATGAGCAGAATCACGTTATCATTCGCGTCACAGTCACTGCGGAGGTGAGAGAATCAAAGGGGGAAAGGGAATCACTAACCAGTGGCTTTCAGGCTTAACTGCGACGCCATCTTGAAGATGCAAAACTAAATAGTTTGGTCAGCTGACATTATCTCGCAACGGCTGTGAGTTATTTGATCTACACATGAGGGAATGAAAGGCTCTGGATTTTGTCTGCCTCTGGATTTGTTAGATAATAATTAGGTTGTTTATTCTTACTGTATATAATTAATTACACACATTCACTAAGTTTTTGTAAACAAAAAACTTTGTAAACACTTTTTAAACTACGGAATAATAGTAAAACGCCCAATTAATCCAATAAAATAATAGGTATAGTTTCTAGAGACAGGTTAGCCTTTTATAAAAATCAGGAACGGGATACTTATGTTTAAATTTTTCATATTCATTAAAAAATAAGGTTAAGTAAACACCAAAATAAGGTATAGAAAATACATTAGGGTTGAAAATTGGGTACTGTTAGTAATCAACCATTTATAAGGACCGGTTCGTGATATTTAGAAAATAGTACAAAAACATATCCAAGTTTACTGTTTAGTTTGTTGTATTGTGCATTTCGTGTGTTTATACAGTTATTGGGCAATCTTTCACCACTAGTCATGATCCAATAGGTGTCTTTAGTCTTTTTTACATTGTTGTAATTGTAAGTAGTTAGTAAGTGTATGACAGCTTAGGACAGCT